ACCAAGAAATGACTGGTTTGATTCCAGGTCAGGGCACATGCCAGGGTTGTGGGCTCGATCCGCAGTAGGGACTGTGCAAGAGGCAGCTGATCAGTGATGCTCCTCTCTCATTGATATTTCTATCTCTCTGTCCCTCTCCCTTCTTCTCTCTCTAAAAATCACTAAAAATATATTAAAAATGTATCAAAGTTTTAAAAAGACACCATGATGCCTTGGTATATACATACTTGAGTGATAAAATTATTTTTAAAAAATCCTGCCAGTTCTCCCTGATAGAGTTAACTTGATCTGTGGGAGACATTTCCAAGGCCCTCTGAGCTCTCAGTTCAAATCTGTTTTCACAAGACCTTTTTGTTCCCTGGGATGGCAGAATTAATCTAAATGTCAGGAGTGCTTGGCCAACATTCTCTGTGGCTCTGGCAGGAAAGATGCCAGATAGTGGTTGCTTTTGACAGTAGGGAAGGACTTATAATTGAGACAAGGCACATGGAGGAGCTCTGAGGTGACTTTTAAAAAAATTGTGTTGAACTATGTGTAACGTAAAATTTACCATTGTAACTATTTTTAAGTGTATATGTCAGCATTGTTAAGTACATTCACATTATTATGCAGCCAAATCTCTAGAACTGTACTCATTACTCATCTTGCAGAAGAATTCTGTACCCATTAAAAAACTCTCCATCTGCTAACCCCAACACCATTCTACTTTCTGTCTCTATAAATTTGATGACTCTGGGGGCCTCATATAAGTGGAATCACATAATATTTGTCTTTTTGTGACTGGCTTATTTCACTTAGAATAATGTCCTTGAGGTTCTTCGTTCTTGTGGCAGGTGCCAGAATTTCCTTTATTTCTAAGGCTGAATAAGATTCCATCCTGTGTATATATCACTTTTTTTGTACATTCATCTATTGATTGGGGTGGCTATTTCTTGACCTGAGTGGTGATTACAGGTTGTTCATCTATAAGTCATAAAACCATGCATTTGTTTAATGTGGTTTTCTGTAAATGTGTGTTACTTTATTTAAAAAAAAAAGGGGGGGGTTAAAATTATTTAAAAGGTCTTCATTTTTTACTGGGGACACTCTATATGTAGTAGGTCTCAGTCCTTTTGCTCCCCAGTGGATGAAAGCATAGCAAAAAGCATTGCTGGGACTTGTCTTTATCATCAGTTGGTCATAGGCATCCTTCTAGGTCAATATGTATGGATTCAATTCTCTATTTTTAATAGCTACATGATATTCTGGAGTTTGAATATACCATGTTTTTTCCCCCCAATAAGTCCCTTTTGGTGGTCTTTTAGACTGTTTCCATATTTTTGCTACTAAAAATAATGGCGCAATAAACATCTATATTTATATCTGTACCTTAATGTAGGTCTCTATATAAAATTTCCTTATATACTAGTGCTTTTTTTTTTTTCGTGTAGGTATAGGGATTCATGTCAACAGCATGCTTATTTCTTCTTTTAGGAGATAATATCTAAATGCAGTGAATGATCCTGGACCAAGACAAAATTCCTATAACAAACAGAAACAGTATTGAGATAAAGAGCGAATTTTGAATGTGGACTGTATATTAGATAATGTTGTACTAATGATAAATTTCCTGAATGTAGCAAGTTTAACACGTAAGAGGGTCATCTTGTTCTTGGGAAACAACACACTGAAGAGTTTAGGGGTGAAAAGTCATAGTATTTGCATTTTATTCCCAAATGTTTCAGAAAAATGTTCATGTGTAATTACACACATAGAGATGAAGCAAATGAGGCAAAATGTTAATAATTAGTTAAGCTAGGTGAAAGGTTATAGAGTTCATATTATTCTGGCAACTTTTTTGTAAGCTTGACATTTTAAAAAAGGTTAAAAACGTCTTTAATGAGTTACTGCCAGATTACTTTCCAGAAAGAACAAACAGAGTAGCTCATAGTCCATCAGTCCCGAGGGCACTGGTGGATGACAAATGGCATCTTCCTGTTTAATTTGCATTTCCTTGACTCCAGTTCTAACACTGCCAGATGTGTGCTTCCTGGGGCTCTGGGAGGAATAGCCGGAATGTGTCTTTGGAGCCGGTTACTTTTTGTTCTGTGAGCCCTCCTACTTAGGCACGGGAGAGCAATCTAACTGCAAATTAAAGAGATCTTCCATGAACAGACCACCGATTGCCAAGGGCTTTTCTTGGGTTCCTTTATTTGGGGGTGGAGCATCTTAAACTAGGGGTCCAGTTGGGAAGAGAGGATTCAGTCAGCCATTGTTGGAGGGGAGAAACACTACATTTAACATATGCAAAACCTCTTTTTCTTTTCTTTCTGGCTAGGTAGCTTTCATTTATCCACATAACATCTTTTTCTTTAGGGCCACATTATAAAGGATTCATATCTACTGAAATGTTTTGAGATACTTGGAGATTGGCCACTTCCCTAAAAGGCTGGATTTTTAGGAGGAAGGAGGAGATGGGAGAAGGGGTTAGGATTAAAGAAGGCATTGCCAAGTGACTAGCTTAATTGGAAATCCTGTGTTGAGGTTTTATTCCCAAAAATAAGGAGAAGCCATTAGGATGCCTGTTCAGGAGTGTTCTCATCGGTCCAGGATAGAGTGTCCTCACTTCCTCGGGTTTGCTGCTTGGAACTGAGTCTCATTGTCTTGTGTTTCTTTGGCGGAGATGCCCTTTCTCTCCAGGAAGGCAGGGACCCTCCATATGCAAGGCGGAGAGCTCCCACCTTTAACACACACCCTCCCTTTTTGGTAAAACTGCCTGCCTTGTGCTTAAACTTCCGGGAAAGGGCTGCTCACCAGCAATCTTTTTCACAGGTGTTGTCCTTGGAGTAAAATGACATAAAATACATAATTGGGTGACTTTACCTATGTATCGATATACTCTTGCTCTGGACACTGCATCTTTTTTGGCTGGAGTTGAGAGGATAAAAATGGGAGAGATTCTCCTGAAAATCCTCAGATTGTGTCTTTGGGACCAGATAGTCTATTCTAAGTCTGGTGACCTCTGTTGACCTGGTTTGTTTAGAATAAAACACTGGGACACATTTTCTGATTTACGGCCAGAGCAGGAATCAGAATATTCAAAACTTGGACCATCCAAAAAAAAAAAAAATGAAACGTAAAGTCATTCTTCTAATAAATCATATGGAAACTCAGTAGCAAACCCTAGAACTGATGGCAAGATGCAGAGGAAGTTTTCTCATTTTCACATTAGCAGACTTCTGGTTCTTTTTCTAAATGACATCGCAAACATCCTGCTGTTTGTCCCGAGAGGGAGTTAACTTGAACTGTGGGGGAGATTTCCAAGGCCCTCTGAGCTCTCAGCTCAAATCTGGTTTCACAAGGCCTTTCTGTTCCTGGGATGGCAGAATTGATCCAATGGCAGGAGCATTGGGCCAACAATCTCCATGGGTCTGGCAGGAGAGATGCCAGTCTGTTTGCACTGCCTAGGCCAGACACACAGGCCTATAGGTCCGAAGGCTTAGTAGTCACTGGACACCCAGATTATGAAGGCCAGATCCACGTGTGCTGGGGTGCCATGCCTCCTTGCCCCTGGTGATAGACCGAGAGGTGGAGGAGGGTGATTCCCAAGTGCTTCATTCCCATCCATCCGCCGTGCTTCCATCAGTGACAGTGTTTCTGTGCACATGGAGGGCACTAGCCTTTTGGGGGACAAAGAGGCTCTCCATCAAAGCTACCTGCTTATTTCCCTCTCCTCAGAAATGTTCTCTCTGTGTGAGAGAAAATATATATATATATATACCCACACTCACACCCACGACCATATCCTCTCTCTACCCACCCCCCATACATATATAGAGAATACCTGTCAAGTGCCAGGCATTCTGCATTTTTTGTCTTAAAATTTCACAAAGATTTGTGAGATAGGGATTATTGTTCCTGTTTTCTAGATGTAGCATCTGAGATTGGGAGAATTGTCCGTTGTCAAACAGAACATTGCTGTTAAGCAGTGGCATCCAGACACATTCCCAAGTCCCGCTGAGCCCTGAGCCCATGTTTATTCCTCGGCATCACGTCCTCGCAGATGACCTGTGTTTGGTGGACAGGTGTCCTCTTGCATTAGGAGGCATCCAAAGGCCGCCAGCTCTCCTCCCCTGGGCTGTCATAGAGGCATCTGTTGGCTGACACCTGGCAGCCCATGTGACTCAGGGAGATGGGTGGGTCAGTGCAGCCAGCTCAGCCGTGCCTTGGCCTGCAGCATGGTCAGCAGCGATGCCTCCCTTCCTGTTGCTCAGTGAGAACAGTCTTTTAACCAGACTGTGTTTTCTTTGCTGACAGCATTAGTGCTTCTCAAGCTAGTTGTGGTGAAGGACCAATTTTTTTCATCTCCAAGCTCCAGAAGACTAATACTTAAAAATATAATAAGAGCATCGAGGCAAATTGCTATAAAAGTTTCCCAATGCTTGCCCTTAAATTCTGTAGTTATCTCATATACTGTGGGCCGTGGAATAAACAGCTTGTGGTCCATGCTGGCCTGTGGAGGCATCTCAAATATCACTCTACCGTATGATTTTGAGGAGGCTTAGACTTCAGAAGAAATTTCTATAAGCCACAGTTTTTTCTTTTTAAAAAATTTAAATTTAGAGTAATAGTGTCTCTCTGTTGAGCATTCTAACTTTTAATACTGTCAACTTTTTACAATTACAAAAGTAATTCTTGCTTGAAAAAAATAAACTGAAATTATACAAAAATACCCAAACCAAAAAATGTTCCCTTTCCTCTCAGTCCCAGCCTCCAAACTACTCTTACCAATGCTGAAGTTGGACGTTTGTCTCACATTCAGGAAAGAAGGGTGTGGATCAAGATTTATGACGAGGGAAGGGATGGGAAAGGCATTTTAAAAATTTGTCTGTTTTCTACTCTGTCTTGATTTTTATTCAAGGGGGAAATTATAACCTTTAAGAGTGCTATTACTCTGTATAGATTCAAAGGAACACGACAGTTACTTTATGTTTCCTAACGCCCATTCTCTTCTGTTGCAGAGCCAGATCACACTAATGGACATCCCTGTGTTTAAAGCCATCCAGCCGGAGGTCTGTACCTTGTCCTTCCTACCGTTCCAACAGCTACATTAGAGCGACCCAGTTTCTCCCTTTCTCTCTTGAAGTATCCAAATGCATGTGAATGGTCTAAGCCCCATTGAAGAGCATCCAGAAACTTTGCATTCTCGATGGTGCTCATTCTTTGAGACAGGTGTTTGGGTTCTCCAGAGAATGTTACCATGTCTGGCCCCCTCTGGCCAGGCTGCAGCATTGGTGCCCACGGCCTCCATGCCTGAGTCAGGTCTTGGCCCACTAATGGCTTTTCCCAGGCTCCTCCTGTGGGAAAGGGGTGCCGTCAGGATAGGGTGTGGGGCAATGTTTTCCCAGAGAGCTTGCATTTTGTTGATCCCAAATTCTGGTGGTTGCTTTGTTTCTGATTTTGAAACCAGTGGCTACAGCAAAACACGGTTTACATTAAATTGTATGTACATTTGTAGCAACAGCATAGTCAATAAAGAGAAAAAAGTTGACTTTAAAAGGTTTATTTAAAAACTATCGGAAATGTTTAGTAGTTGACAATGAGGCTTTATAGATATTTTAGGAAGGTTCTTTTTTTTTTGTTAACAACTAATAGAAATGCATGCCCAAATGGCTGTGATAGGCAGAAGAGGACTTTACTACAAGGATAGGAGGGGCATTTTACAGAATGGGCATGGAGTTTAGGCAGCCTGGAGAGCCAGCCGGGACACAGGCCGCTCTGCTTCTTGCCTCAGCTTTTCCTTCTGCTTCTCTCTTCTGCCTTTACGCCTGTCTGCTGATGTGGCCAAACATAGCCTCCCAACAGGGTCCATGTTTACATGATCCCCCCTGAAGCATCTTCTACACTGAGACCAGCAACTCTCAGCCCAGCCCAGCTGAGTCACATGTCTAGTGTGGGTGCTGTGACCAAGGTCAGGAGTACAGGGCCAAGTCCTGCAAGCACAGCTGAGCTGAGGGGACCTAGCCTGGTGAGTGAGGTGCAGATTTCAGAGAGGAGGAGTATTGGTGGAGAGATATGTCAAAAGTTGTCTGTTGCAACCAAAAGGTGTCTTCTGTGAATTCCAGAACACTCTTAACGTGCCCTTCTTACAGTCTGGTAGCTGTAAAGACAGAGAAAAACAGCATTTTAATCCAAAGTCAGACCACAGACCCAGGCCTCCTGGGAGCTGGTATCTTATGTATTATAGATTAGGAGGAAACTTGCATGTTATCTGCGATCAGCATTTATGTGAAGACCTGGCAATGATCTGTATTAATTATGTGTGTGCGTGTGCGCACGCATTGTGTTCATTAGGTTTAGGGAGCTGAGCTATGTTTGTTTGTTTTTGAATTGGCTGACTTCCAGTCTTCTTCTGTTTTCTTTTTTTTCTTTCTAATATGGAGTTATCTATTCTTTCTAATTAATATATATATATATATATATATATATATATATATACACACATATACACACACACACACACACACACACACACACACACACACACACACACATATATATATATGAGACAACTCGCTACTTCTTGGAGCCTTTGGGGGAATAGTTGTTTAATGGTCACCTTAGTTCTCAGCTGGAGCTGTTTCTGCTTAGCTTTGGTCTGGAGTGTCTTAGACATTTGGATCTTTGTTTTCTGTCTTGAGCACTGAGCATTTTTAGCTAACAGGGCTGCTGTGAGCCCTGAACTCTGAGACTGCGTGTGCTGGAGGCTGGGGTCGCTGTTCTGGCTGGTTGCAGGAGGGAAGGGCCGGGAGCTCTTCAGAGGCACAACCAGGGGGAGACTTTTCCCCAGGGCACTGCAGTTTGTTTGTTTTGCTTGTAAATATGTTTTTATTGATTTCAGAGAGGAAGGGAGAAGAAGAGAGAAAGAGAGAAATATCATTGATGAGAGAGAATCATTGATTGGCTGCCTCCTGCACGCTCTCCCCTGGGGATTGAGCCTACAACCCAGGCATGTGCCCGTGACTGGAATTGAACCCAGGACCCTTCAGTCCACAAGCTGACGCTCTACCCACTAAGCCAAACTGGCTAGGGCTGCAGTTTGGAAAGTACCTTATCCAGGGCATATCTGATTTCAAGTTGTGACAAGACATTAAGGTGGAGATGTTTTGCTTTCAAGATTTAGCTTGAAGCTAAATCTTGAAAGCAAAACATTTGGTTCTCAATAGTGGTTCTCAATTGTGGCTGCACATCAGTCACGTGGGCAGCCTCTGAAACATGGTGCCCAGACTCGCCGAATCTGAATCGCTGGGTCAGGCTCCAGAACCCAGTGGGCCCTGTTTTGCATAAATTTCTGGCGTAGAGTGGGAATTAAGAGCGAATTACTTTGAGGTATCTGGAGAAACCCCAGACTTGAATGTTTTGGATCTATGAGATGTTAGCTAAAAATGGAAGGGTTTGCTTCTCATTGTCATTGTCAACGATTAAAAGCAAGGCCCTGGGAGCTGTCCAGCTTTTTTATTGTTTTAATTTTTGTTAGCAGACTGAAAGCTGGGATTTTTTTCCCCTTGAAGGTGGCTGCCACATTGTGGTTGGACCACCTTAGAGTCGGAAGAACATGAATAGGGGACAATGTTAAGTTTGTTGTAGGCAAGACTTTCTAGGAAGCAGAGGCCAACATTTGAGAACAAGATGGGCACTGTGAGTCACCTGGACTCCCAGAGTATCAGGAACCTTGGACTGGTGCCTCCACCCTGGCCCGAGAATCCGTGGGGGAGCTCTGTGAAAATACAGATGGCAGGCCCCACCCTTGGAGATCCTGATTCCATAGGTTGGAGTGGGTGGGGAATCTGCGTATCAGTCAGTGACAGTCACTGTGCTTTTTGATGCATGAGTTGTCCCGTCTTTAACCAATGGGAGCCCTTTCATGTCACCTCCTATGTCTATGTGATCCCTCCATTTTTGTTAACTTCCTTGCTCTGTGGCACCATGAGGTGTTCCAACGTGATATTATACACTTCCCACTGAAGGCCTAGATTCAGGCATTCCTCAGGGGGCTGGTTCCTTTAGTGGGGAGTAATATTAGAAACCATAATCTGGATGAGAGGATATTCATTGCTATTAGGTTGCTGTTGCTTTTAGGTCTTTTTGGTGGACAAGCGCTAGGAAATACTTATTTCTTGAAAGGAAAGATCATGAGATTGTAATTAGGGCAGGGGGTGTAATTTTCCCACAATTCTTCCTTCCTTCCTCATCCTTGTCATAACTTCTCTGTGGGTGTGTACAGTATATGTCCCTATTGTATAGATTTGGGGCTTGGCCTTGTGACTTAGGCACAAGTAATGCAAAGGGTGAGCTAAACTGGTCAGAGGCATGGCATGCTTCCACCAGTCCTCTTGGAATTCCTACTCTCCGTGGTGTACTGTTAGCTATTGCTTGTTTAGCCGGAATCCCAAATCCAAAGCTTGCATTCCAGCCCAGCCTGGCACAGCCCAGGGGAGCCCAGCAGAAATCACTTGAGTTGCAGTCATCCTACAGACGGTTGAACATGAAATAGTGTTGCTGTAAGCATCTGAGATTGAAGGGCTCTGTGTTTATACCACATTATCTTGTAGAAACATGACCAGTACAGTGTTGATCTTTCCACTTCCAATCCTTCCCTTGATTTTTAAAATATATTTTTATTGATTTCAGAGAGAGGTAAGGAGAGGGAGAGAGAAATTGATACATTAGTCTTGAGAGAGAAACATTGATTGGTTACCTCTTGCACGCCCCACACCGGGGATTGAGCCCACAACCCAGGCATGTGCCCTGACTGGGAATTGAAATGTGACCTTCTGGTTCATAGGGCAATGCTCAACCACTGAGCCATGCCTACCGGGCACTTCCCTTGATTTTTATATGGTGTTTTTTACACTGACAGTTTTGGCCCTGACTGGGAATTGAAATGTGACCTTCTGGTTCATAGGGCAATGCTCAACCACTGAGCCATGCCTACCGGGCACTTCCCTTGATTTTTATATGGTGTTTTTTACACTGACAGTTTTGGTTCCTAACATTAAATAATTTCATTTTTGTATCATATATAAAAATAGTTTAAAAATAACTATCAATGTTACTATTAACCAGCAGACTACTGTTAAAGCTTAACACTTCTTTGCAATTCCATTCTTTAGTTTCTCTTCATATCTTCTCCCCTCAAAGCCTACAGCTGACACATCCAGGCGGTGCTCCCTCTTCACTTCCCCGGAGGCCTTTGGAAGCAGCAGGGCAGACCAGGAGGGCTCTGCCCCCTGGAGATCTGCCGCCTGAGACCCTGTTGTAATCCCGGTGCCTGGAACAGGCTGATAGTAAATACTTGTTGAATGAGTGGAGAGTGGCTGGAGGACTGGATGAGAGAAGTGCTGCAGCAGAACACTCTCTGAGGCCCATTGCCAGGGGGTGAGTCCCAATTAAGGGAGCATTCTTACCAGGGTGCCTGTTTTGTGGTGTCACCACTTTCCCCAAAGCCAGGGCTTCGCCTGGTGAGCTCAGCCTTTGAAGATTCAAATTTCCAAGTGCTGTTGAGAACTGAGTAGAACTGTGGCTTCTGCTCCTTTCTGCAGGGGGGACCGCAGAGCATCATCCCAGGCTTAGAGGAAGCCAGGCAGACGGTGAGTTCAGGATTGGCAGGGAGCAGGGAAAATGGAAGTTAGCAAATGTGGAGCCGCAACTGCCCTGTTCCCTGGTGACTCTAACAAGTGAAAATTTTATCAGAGATTGGCAGCTAATGCAGATACAACTTGCAGTATAATAGCTCACAGCTGTGTTTAACTTATAGGCTGCGGCCTGGAACCCCAGCACCGTGGCGGTGGATTGGGGCAGGGGCCGGGCGGGTTCTTGGCGAGCGGGGGCCAGGGTGGGGGCTCATGGTAAAGGACGGCTTTCCAAGGGGTCTGGTGGCAGCAGCCTTGCGAGAAGGTACATTTTCACGGTGGCATTTTGTTCCCACCAGCATTCTCTACCAAATAAATCTGTCTGTTATTTTGCCCAACTCCCAGAATACGGAATTGAAGGTCCAACAGTTTCTCAGAAG